TGGAAGTGACAGCCTGCATGCATGCATCATAAAGTTTTTCCTTCTAGGTTTCTCTCCTGCCTCACTGATTTGACCTCCGGCCTCGGACCCTTCTGGGGGCTCTGTACCCCAGGGGAATGAGATTTCCCCCACAGTGGCAATGAGTGTTTAGGGTCAGACATGGGCTGTACTGCTTTCTCCATTGGCATAAGTTTAAGTTGGAGTTCTCTGGTCTTTCTGGTTCTTACAGTATGGTCACTTGCCCATTGAGTGTCCCTGCCTGAGGCAGCACACACACTGAGCATGGCTGTCCGATATGGGTATTGACAACATACATGTTAGACACCACTTAAAGCCTGGTGAACCAGGCATGTCCTTAGGCCACATTAAAAAAAAGGTTCACTAATCTTTAACAACTGCAACACTTAACTAACTGGTAACTTATAAAATGACTAGGAAATTCAAAACATTTTCAAAGAGTATGCAGGGCAAATGCAGGTTCCAATCTGGCCAATGGCAGCAGAGAAGGAACTGAGGGGTCGGTTGGCTGTGCAGTAGCCATTACGAGCAGCCAGCACGCGCTGTTCATGTGTGCAGCTGACTGAAGGCACAGCTGTCTTAAATCTCTGACTAAAGGTGCAGCGGTGCTGCAAACACCTACGGTGAAGTGCCCACAGGGACACTCCTCGAAGAACATTAGAAGCTGTTAGGAAAGAGATCCAAAATAAGACAAGGAAATGTTATATTGCCACTACATAAATAAATGGTGCTCCTATATCTTGAATATTTTACCCAGTTCTGGCTACCCCATAGCAAAATGGATACATGGAACTGGATAACATTTAGAGAAGGGCAACACAGAGGATCAAGGGGACAGAACAATTTCCACATGAGCAGGAAAAGAGATCAGGGATATTGATCTTAGAAATAAGATAATCAAGGGAGGAGGTGATAGAGGTCTCAATCAGAAATGGTGTTGAAAAAGTGTACTCAGAAGTTGAGACCCTTTTCTACAAATACACAAATCAAGTGCCAAACAAATTAATAGCCAGCAGGTTTAATACAAAAAACAAAAACAAAAAAAAAAGCCACACAGTACTTCTTCATACAACACACCATTAACTTGTGAAACTCTGATTTGGGATGTCACAAATTTCATGCAGGATATGTCTATTGATGGCTATTAGCCAAGATGGTCAGGAACACAACTCCCTGCTCAGGGTGCCCCATAACCTCGAACTACCAGAACATGGAAATAGGAAACTGTGGTGGATCACTCAAAAATAGTCCTGTTCCGTACACTCTCCCTGATGTTATGGTACTGGCCACAGTAGAGACAGGATTCTGGGCTAGGTGGATAATTTGCATGACCCTGTGTAGCAGCTCTTATATGCCTCATCTTTGCAGTAGTAGAAGCTAAATATAACTGACTTACGTATTTACAAATTTTCTGATGAAAATATGTAATGTTTAAGGATGCTGTATGCAGTTTTGAGGGTCTTAAAGAAGAAGCATAAAATGGAAAGACTGTTACTGTTTCTCTCTAACTTCTTGTTATCCAGATCTGAAATGGCCACACGCATTACAAGAAGCAGCTTGGGATGTTTGGCAATTGTATTTGGAACAAATCAAAAGTACTTCAAAGGTCTCTTCATAAATATAATTCCAAGCAGCCCTTTTAAGCACTGGGTATCTGTCACACTGAAAGCAGATTATTTAAAAAACACCATGGAGTGAAATTTTTGTAAGGGCAACATAGAGGTCAATTCATCTTATTCAGGGACAACAGAATGAAGGTCTTCAACATAAAACATTTCTCCCTTTGAAAAAAATCAGCAATATTACTTGAGGTTCTCAATCAAAATCTCACAAGATTTTGTGCGCGCGCAAAATTTCTTGACATGTTAGCAAGTGGGAAAGGTCTTTTCAGTTAAGATATCCATGAAAGTTAGATGTCAGCAAGTCACCAGGTCCTGATGAAATGCATCCCAGGATACTCAAGGAGCTGATAGAGGAGGTATCTGAGCCTTTAGCTATGATCTTTGAAAAATCATGGCAGACAGGGGAGATTCCAGAAGACTGGAAAAGGGCAAATATTGTGCCCATCTATAAAAAGGGGAATAAGAACAACCCAGGAAACTACAGACCGGTCAGTTTAACGTCTGTCCCAGGGAAGATAATGGAGCAGGTAATTAAGGAAATCATATGCAAACACTTGGAAGGTAATAAAGTGATAGGGAATAGCCAGCATGGGTTTATGAAGAACAAGTCATGCCAAACTAATCAGATAGCTTTCTTTGATAGGATAACGAGCCTTGTGGATAAGGGAGAAGCGGTGGATGTCATATACCTAGACTTTAGTAAGGCATTTGATACGGTCTCGCATGATATTCTTATTGATAAACTAGGCAAATATAACTTAGATAGGGCCACGATAAGGTGGGTGCATAATTGGCTGGATAACCGTAGTCAGAGAGTTGTTGTTAACGGTGCTAAATCCTGCTGGAAAGGGATAACAAGTGGAGTTCCGCAAGGGTCTGTTTTGGGACCCGTACTATTCAATATCTTCATCAATGATGTAGATATTGGGATAGAGAGTACGCTTATTAAGTTTGCAGATGATACCAAACTGGGTGGGGTTGCGACTTCTTTGGAGGATAGGGACATAATTCAAAATGACCTTAGCAAGTTAGAGAAATGGTCAGAGGTAAACAGGATGAGGTTTAATAAAGAGAAATGCAAAGTGCTCCACTTAGGAAGGAACAATCAGTTCCATACATACAAGATGGGAAGCGACTGTCTAGGAAGGAGCATGGCAGAAAGGGATCTAGGGGTCATAGTGGACCACAAGTTGAATATGAGTCAACAGTGTGATGCTGTTGCAAAAAAAGCAAATATGATTCTAGGTTGTATCAACAGGTGTGTTGTAAGCAAAACTCGTGAAGTCATTCTGCCGCTCTACTCTGCACTAGTTAGGCCTCAGCTGGAGTACTGTGTCCAGTTCTGGGCGCCACATTTCAAGAAAGATGTGGAGAAATTGGAAAGGGTACAGAGAAGAGCAACAAGAATGATTAAAGGTCTAGAGAACATGACCTATGAAGCCAGGCTTCATGAACTGGGCTTGTTTAGTTTGGAAAAAAGAAGATTAAGGGGGGACATGATAGCGGTTTTCAAATATCTAAAAGGGTGTCACAAGGAGGAAGGAGAAAATTTGTTCCTCTTGGTTTCTGAGGACAGGACAAGGAGTAATGGGCTTAAAGTGCAGCAGGGGAGGTTTAGATTGGACATTAGGAAAAAATTCCTAACTGTCAGGGTGGTCAAATATTGGAATAAATTGCCAAGGGAGGTGGTGGAATCTCCCTCTCTGGAGATATTTAAGAACAGGTTAGATAGACATCTGTCAGACTAAGGCCTTTGTATCCTTTGCAGATACAAAGCAACTATACCCTACTAAAATTTAACATTTTAAAATTCCTGAAGATAGATGGAGACAGGTTCTCAGAAAGCCTTGCAAAACAAAGTGCAAACTAATCTGCCCTGTGATCTGCTCAGCTTCTTACATGTAGGGAAGGAGAGCATAAAACTTGCACATATACTCTGTATACTGCTGCACCAGGGATATAATAACCAAGCTTGAGTGAGGAACAAGAGAAATCTTGAGCACACAGATCTGGGGTGTACAGCCTAGCTGACCCTTTCAATCTAATTACTGGTATCTAGCCAGAAAGAAATAGCCTATTTACTAAAGCAGCAGCAAAATTATGCTGATATTCAAGTCGTCATTTTAGACTACAGATAAAATTCCAGTGAGATTAAGAGAGACAAATGACCTTCCAGTTTTATGCTGCTTCACTGATTCTGTGGGTAGTACTGCATCTGTTCATATTCTCTTCACTTTAAGGGAAATTTTTTAAATGAAAAACTTGTGATGCAGAAATGCAAGACAATGGCAGGCCATATGAAGTATTTGTGGGTCACATCCAAGTCAGAGGTTGTGCGCCATAGCTCTATACCAGTGACTTTTGGTTTTCAGAATGAGACATCTTCTAGCAACCTCTGATTAGTATATAGATTTGCAAAGACTATATTGCAATAGGATTTAGGGATATCAATCACAGACCAGAGCCTCATTGTGGCAGACACAAATAAAGGGATCGATTATAAACTGTTTGGGGCAGGGACTAAATCTAAATCAAGTGACAATGGATGGCAACAGACAAAAGCACCATAAGGTAACTGTGAAACAAAACTGGTCACAATGAAAAACAGGGTCAGATCAGTAAAAAAAAAAAGTGAACAAGTTTGGTAACTACCTAGAAGATTATTTAATTTTCTGTTAGACGGTTTATTTTTATTTGAAGAAATCCATTAGATCGATATTCCACGTTAACAACATTCAGATTCACTCCTATCGTACAAAATTGGTTTTAATCTGATTCTATTTCAATCTTAAACACTCTGGATAGAAATGAAGAAAGTCTTAAGACAGCATGTTCTATGAGGTCTTTCAGTAGGATTATTTAAAATCCCACTTCAGCAAACATTTTAAGCATGTGCTGAATTTGTAACCCAGGTAAGATGGGGCTATTGTAGCTTTTAATCCATGCTTGCACTCTCCTGGTCTTCAGAAACCCCCAATCTAATTTAGACAGACATAAGGGGATGTTTGAGTCATGGTAATTTCCCGATGCTGTTCTATAAACTATAGTTTTGCATGTGGAGATCCTGTTCCTACCATGGTCCATATGCCAAGTCTTGCTAGGGAAGCCTCAAAGGTGGCAGCCTTATGGCCATCTTCTAATTCCTATGCCATGAGAATTCTCCCATAGCTAATATGGGGCTCACATTATCCCTTTATGATATTTTGATCTCTTTTTTTGGCTCTCATTTGTAAAGTCAACAGTATTTAAGCATGAGCTCAAGGGCTTAGTCAGGACTTAGTAGTTGGGGGTGAGTTAAATGTTAATTGTAACAGTAGAAAATCACGGTAATTTAAAAGAAATAAAGGCAATAGTACATACCATCCAGCAATTCCAGAGTAACTGAAGGATCAACATATTCCCACCAATGCTTTCCATCCGTCGATACAGGAATCTCCCAATTGGACCACTTGCATGCCAAATGAATGCACACACATGCTATCACTGTGGGTTTGTACTGAAGACAGAAGGTAGTAAGGTGCAGGCTGTTGCAGAGAATTCAAACATGTAAAACAAAAAATCCCAAACAAGTCAAGATACAGCATAAGGTTTGGTATCAAAACAACAGATCAAACATTAAATCATAGAACAGTCTTTTGATTAAATTCTGAAGTTATCTTACAGCCTTCAGCAGAGAAAAGGCATTTCATTTTTCTGGTGGAGTTATTTTGCTCTTGTAAAGAAAGCAAAAAAAAAAAAAAAAAATCCCTCAGTTCATTCTACTGTATTTTACTTACTAACTTTAAAGAAGGGCCAAAATTCAGCATAATATAGTTGATAAAAGTTCAACCACAGTGAAGTCATTATAACAACTTATTACTGACACGCTATATCAAACTTGTAAGCTGAGGGAGATTCTCTAGTTCCCTAGAGGTTGAGAGAATCACTTGTGGGACATGGGCAGCCTTCATTAGGCCCAGGTTTGAGATACAAATCTGCTCACATAGCTTCAATTTCCCAGCTGGCAGTAGCACAAGTATGGCTGGTCTAGCTTGAGTGATTCTACCAGCTATTGCAAATAAAATATCTTCCACACAAGAAGCTATCCCATACCAAAAGGGACCAGCAAAATGGCTAAAGTCCTCCCAAACATTACATATACCCACTTGGATTTTAAACAAAATCATATTAAAACGATATTAAATTTAAGCTAATTTTGCAAAGAACACATAGAAGACTTTTAGATCTATTTCCAGAACATCAGAACAGCTGGATACATTTGTGTGTCTACATTTGGACAATCAATTTTAATTTCACATAAACACTGAAGTTTTTTTTTTTAAAAAAAAGCATGTTAAGGACAAACATTGCTTAGACTAATTCTAGTCTACCTGGAAAGAAAACGAGGTAATTTTAAGAGTTTTTATGCTGACTGTAGTTTCATTAAGTTAGGACTGGATTAATATATTTAAATTAAGAAAAAATTGCCATTAACTACAAGTGTAAACTATAAATAGCTTTGTACTTACCAAGATGCTCGACTCTCTAGGTTAAGTTTATCTCTTTGTAATCTTTAGCTGCTATTCAGGCTACCAGTTTTAGATTTATGCACTCACAATGGAGAAAATGTTACCAGAAAGCACCACTACACTTCTCATTGTGCATTTAACCCCTTTGTGCCATAAGGCCCTTGTACAATACACCGCACTGCAAACAGAAAGGTACCACCACGGTAGATGGCCCAGTTTCCTGTTGCAACAAGGGTAAGACACATGGAGGGGGCCCTGCAGTAAAGGAAGCTATAGTGTGCTACAACAGTGCAACAAAGAGGTTCAGGATAACAACCTGTTGGTAGCCATGAAATAAGATGTCTGTGCCAAATCCTTGCTTGCTGTAAGAAAAAGAAAATAGAAGAAATTAGCAATCTAAATTGTTAGCTTCATTCTAAAATTAAAATGGTTTAACTTCAAAATGAATATGTAGAATACTAAGACATCAGCTGTCCTTATAAGTAAATTAACTACTTAACTCTTGGCACTGAGGACAGATTTACTCATCCCTTCTGAGCTACACTTGGAGATGGGCAAGTCATTCAGTTCACAAACCTTCCCTTTACAGCAGTGTTTCCCAAATGGTGTTCTGCGGAACCCTGGGGTTCTGTGAGAAAATTCCATTACAATAATATTTTAGGATTTAAAAAATTAATATTATGTGATTTTTGTTTTTAAATACGTGCAATTAAACTAAATGTTGATCTCATGACCTTGTTTAGCATTTGTTTATTATTATCCTTACTTATTTGTGGTCTACTTTTTCAGCTCCATGTATTAGACTGTTATTAGGGGTTCCGCAAAATTCTTTCGAGTTTAAAAGGGTTCCATGGCCAAAAAAAATTGGGAAACACTGCTCTACAGTAAAGTATGTTAATCCTTCTGTCTCTTGAACTGTCTCCATCTGAGCCACAAAATGAGAAGTTTCACTTTCATCCCCCTAACCCTTCCAAATCTAAGATGGTGTAGGTGGATTTCTCTTACTTTCCACACCAATTCTAGTGCTTGCCTGCCTTCCTACTGTAGTTCTAGATATCTTACCACAACTCCCTCCCCCAACAGTTGGGTCAGTCTCAGCTTGACATTCAAATAAGAGAACCAATTTGCACTATAGCTTAGGCCAGAGATTAGTGCTCCTGTCCAGATGAAGGAACATAAGAGTAGTTTAGAAAAACTCAATCATACACTAGCAACCCATAATTACTCTAAAAAGCACTAGAACAGACCAGTTCCCAAACTAGAAAGTTTAAGGATTAAATTAGCTTGTATGCACTTACGCCTACTTTAATCAAAATTTAATGCTCATAAGTATGAAACAAAACATTTGACTATATCAGAAGCTTCAGTATAGATCTTAAATTCTTAACTCGTTCAAAAGGTCATTAAATTCAGGCTTTGGAATGTTTGACTTGATTAGCACATTCCTGGGGCTTAACAGCCACCAAGTTTCTGGCCCTTATCCATCAAACCCTCAAGGTCCTCACTCTTGGGCACTTACTCTTAAAATGTGTAAAATGGAACACCTGGGCACAACGAGCTTAACTGAAGACTGAATGATGCTTTTCATTGAATCTTCTTACTTGGATAACTACCACTTGAACTACCTGGAGAAAATGTACTGTTGGCTCTTATGTCAAAGGGAGCATGGTCACAAACCTCTATTTTATTTTAAGAGGCTTGTCTGAAAAAGAAAAATTGTAGGAAGTAGCTTTCAAATTCAGTAATCTAGGAAGCTTTTCAAAACTTCATTGTATCAAAATCCAATTGAATTCTGTTTCCCATTACTGCTGATAATAAGATACTAATATGCCTTTTTCTAGGGCTGAGTAAATGCCATAATCCATAGTTGAGGACATCAATGAATCCAACAGAAGGGGCAAGAGAATAGGACATTTCCCCACATAAATTTTGCTAACCCACAATAATAGAAAATAAACTGACATTTGGTGGAATTATACAGTAATTCCTCATTTAACACGGTAGATACGTTTCAGAAAATGATCGTGTTAAGTGAAAACGTGTTATGCAAGGGTCAATTTTCCCATAAAAAATAATGGAAAGGGTGGGGGTTGCCTTTCAAGCCCACCTGTGCTCGCAGCTACAGCCTGCACTTGTTAGCAGTTGGGACAGGGACATAAGGTTGGGAGAAAAAGGGGACTGGGTTATAGCAGGGTGGGGAGGTGTTTGGCTTTGGAGAAGGAAAGGGAAGGGAAGGACAGGGGAGGGGGGCTTGCAGCAGGTGGCTGGGTTTCCCCAGCTGGCCGGTTGCCAGCAGCTGCTCTGGACTTCCCCTGCCTTCTTGCAAAGCAGCGGAGGTTTGCCGCTTGCCGCGCCGTTCCCTGGCGACTCCCTCTGGCTGGATGCCTTGGGAGTTCCATGCACAGGGCTTCCCCTGCCTCCTTACAAAGCGGTGGAAGTTTGCCACTTGCTGCGCTGTTCCCGGAGACCCCTACTAGCCGGATGCAAGGCATCCGACCAGAGGGGGTTGCTGGGGAACGGCGCGGAGAGCTTTGCAAGGAGGCAGGGGAAGCCCTGAGCAGCTGCCAGCAACCGGCCAGCTGGGGAAAGCCAGCCGCCGGCTGCAAGTGGGGGGCAAAGGAGAGGGAGCAAAGGATCCCCACAGGGGGTCGCTGGGGAATGGCGCGGCAAGCAGCGAACCTCCGGAGGCAGGGGGAAGCCCTGCGCAGCTGCCAGCTGCAAGAGGCGGGCGGAGGAGTGGGAGCAAAGCATCCGGCCAGAAGGGAACGGTGCGGCGAGCAGCAAACCTCCGCCGTTTTGCAGGGAAAGCCCCGCGCAGCTGCCAGCGACCGACCGGGGAAATTGTTTTATTGCAGGGATGGGTCGTGTTGTTTGAAAATTGTTCCCCAAAAATAATCATGCTATCGCGAAAACGTGTTAAGTGAGGAATTACTGTACAACACATCTAGCTTTTTCAACCTCTGGTAGTAGTTCCATGCCAAACTTTCTCAAAATTAAAACACTTTGATAGCTTTTCCCAAGATGACAAAGGAAAGCATTTTCAGGGCTCTACTTAAAAAAAAAAAGCCACAAACCACCACACACACCCCCACACCTGACACTTTCATAAGGAAACAAATTAAAACCGGAAGATTAAAGACAGTAGTTTTCTAGCGTTTTTGTCAATGTACAAAATAAGACAACCTTACGGATTTTTATATAATACTGAAACTTTCCTGAAGGATATGGAGTTAAAGATGAAATACCACAAATTCATCAATATGACTTCATAATGAAGAAACAGTGGGCTGCTAAATGCTATCAATATGACAAATACAGTAATTATCAAATAAGGAACATTTAACTGTTACTTAAACAACTCTACCTTGCTGTTTACCTTGAACAGCATCACAATTTGAAAATTGTACAGGTCAGTGGGATGCTTGTACCGACAGCACTTCGGTAATTAAGATTAAGTTTATTCTATTTACTTTCATGTAATCAAATGAGGTTTGTTCAAGATATTCATAGACTTTTTAAACAAGGACAATGTATTAATGGCTAGTGAGATCTTACTAAAACAAAGAAACCTAGATAAAAGATGGAACTGCACCTGCATCCCTTTAGAGCAGGCATGTCCAAAGTCTGGCCCGCGGGCCAATTGCGGCCCGTGTTCCGGTTTAATACGGCCCCCCAGGTAATTTGGCAATATCTATCTTTTATGGCCCCCAACGAATCCATATGTATTGAGATGAATACATTGTAAAATCTCAGTTAATGTCAGTTGGTCTAAATCAGTTATAAATATATTTGGACACAACATGTATACTTGGTGTTATGTTCCTGTTCATATTTTTTGAACTTAAAAGTTGACAGACAACCTTTATTACCAATAATATGTAATGTACTTTACAATGTTCCTGACACATATTTCAGCTTCCTGGATTTTTTTTTCATCTGGCCTTCAGATACGAAAGGCAGAGTGATTTAACACCTGTTTAGATTGGTCATCCATGTGACGAAATGAAAAGTATGCCGTTTGCAATAAACTTTGCATAAAATAGTTAATTTGCATTTAATTTTAATGGTTCAAAGAATGTCAGGCAAAATGGTCGGCCCTCACGCATGTTCACTTCATCAAATCTGGCCCTCTTTGAAAAAAGTTTGGACACCCCTGCTTTAGAGCTAATCAGGATTATTTCAGAAATGTGTCAAAAAAGTGAAAGGCAGATCAACAAGGTATGACCTTGTCTAAGATATGAAAGTCATATCAAATCAAGACATTTATCACTCAACGGTTTGATGGCATAAAATATGAATTCCAGCAAATAATATGTTTCCTATCATTCTTTATCACTTGGGGGAAGGGCTATCTGACTTAATCCTTCATTGCACAATCAACCATGAAAGAATGGCTTGGATACTTGAAGGAAATAACCAAATCTTTGAGGCAGGACCTGGTGCAATATATCTACATTTCAAGAATCTGGCATCTTCTATAAATGGCAGGATTAGATTATTGAATCTTTTGTTAATGAGTACAGCAACCCTGTTTACCAGATGTGATTCCTATTTTCCCTGAAGACAAGCCAATGGAAAGTACAGTGCTCCTCAGAAGATATTGAAAGTATTTCAGTTTTTTTGTGAGTATAATTTGCATGCTGGTCCCCTTATACATAGGTGCCATCAGCCTGATTATTAGTAAGACTCAACCATTTCAGGTCAAATATTTAGAGAATTTATGGCCCTAGGTGGGAGCACAACCTCCCAGGATACTCAGAGTATATGAGATTCTAAGTAATCCTTACAGTGGGTCTAGGTGAGGAAAAGCTGGGTAGGGAAGCTCCCTTAATGTCCCACGGACAGGAAGATCACAAGCAAGCACTGGAAATGGATGGATCCAGATGAGACCGATCTTCATTCTTAGGCGCAGACTGTTAGAATGCTCTCGTCAAAGGGAAAAGATCAAACAGACACTAGTAAGAGGACTGTGTTGGTGAATACTTAATACATAAGAGAAAGGCTGGGAGAAACCTAGGTACAAGGATTAAGATGTGAACCATCTTGACAGATTGCCAAACACTATTAGACCAGGGGTGTCCAAACTTTTTTCAAAGAGGGCCAGATTTGAAGAAGTGAACATGCGTGAGGGCCGACCATTTTGCCTGACATTCTTTGAACCATTAAAATTAAATGCAAATTAACTATTTTATGCAAAGTTTATTGCAAACGGCATACTTTTCATTTCGTCACATGGATGACAAATCTAAACAGGTGTTAAATCACTCTGCCTTTCATATCTGAAGGCCAGATGAAAAAAAAAATCCAGGAAGCTGAAATATATGTCAGGAACATTGTAAAGTACATTACATATTATCAACTT